CGATTACAGAGATAGACTAATCGGTGGCGCCATTCGTAAACAAATTTAGTGCCGTGTAAGCGGAGAATTAATATGCTAAATGAACTTTACGAGATCAGTTGACTGTATTATATATAGGCATAATTTTATACGCGTGGTGTAGTTTCTTTGAGCAGAAATATTTTTCTCTTAGAAATACCTCTTTTTTTTAATTTATTTATGACACAAACAGTCATTTCAAATTTTATTAAATGCGAAAAAGACATTGAGTGTCACTTAATTACTTCTGTTAATCTTCTGTTTATTATTTATTATTACTTCAGTTATTAAATATTTATCTATACTTATGAATTGTCTAAAAAAAATTGATAATGACAAATTTCCAGGCAAACTTTCATCCCCTATTTTTCGCGATAAAACGTAGCCTATGTCCTTTCCTAAAGTTAAATCTATTTACTATATTAATTTCCATTAAGATGGGTTCAATTGTTTAGGCGTCTAAGCGTAACAACACTTATTTATCTTACCTAAGTTATCGATACTTTTAATACGATTCTAAAATCTAGCTAAGTATCGATACTAGAACGATACGCTGATCAAATTAGAACTATGCCGAGTCTGCCAAAGCATATGCAGTGATATTTACCAACAATATAAAATCATCATATAAAAATAGCATTTTATAATCTACAATAAATATCGATTATAAGTTTATTGGAAATTAACAATATTGCCGAAATAAATATCAATTATACACAAATCGGTTATTTTTTCCCAAGCCTATTCTTTATGAATTTTCCGGATCGCGGACACAGCAGTGCACAAGCGTTATCACGTTTTCATTGCCGCCATCACGGACCTGAATAGAGAAAAGTAAAATCCCGGACGGTAAAATTCCTGACAGTGCACAGGCTAGCATAGGAATGATGACTAATTTTTGTTTGTTTGTCCGTCAGGTAGAGTGTTAAGAAATATTAAACATGTATTTTTTTATTTTTTTTCGTAATCATAAAATTACGGCGTTACATGGAGTTGAAATTTCGCATGACGTCACGTTATGGTACGTTTTCTACACAACTGTGACGTAGCGAGCCCCCACTCCTCAACTTTAATTCCTGTTATCTAAGCTATTTCTTGTTAAATTGAAGTAAAAAAAATACGTATCTAATATTTTTCTATTTTCTGAGTGACGGACTAATCAGAATTGCATTTTTTTTACCCAGACATCGGACCTGAAAAAATCGGACCGCCGGACATGAAAATTCAGTGTAGTGCATCAGCGCCCTTAATAGACCAATCGGTGGCACCATTTCGTTAACAAATCGAAATTAGTGCCGTGTTAGCGGAGAATTATTATGCTAAATGAACTTTACGAGATCAGTTGACTGTATTATATATAGGCATAATTTTATACGCGTGGTGTAGTTTCTTTGAGCTGAAATATTATTCCCTTAGAGTACTTCTTTTTTCTAAATTTATTAATGACACCATCATACATTTAAAATTTTATTAAATGCGAAAAAGACATTGAGTATCACTTAATTACTTTTGTTAATCTTCTGTTTATTCTTTATTATTAATTCTGTTGTCAAATATTTATCTATACTTATCAATTGTCTAAAAAAAATTTGATAACGACAAATTTCCAGGCAAACTTTCATTCCCTATTTTTCGCGATAAAATGTAGCTTATGTCCTTTCTTAAAGATAAGTCTATTTACTATATTAATTTCCATTAAGATGGGTTCCGTTGTTTAGGCGTCTAAGCGTAACAACACTTATTTAAGCTCAAATGCATTATTGTTTATATTACAAATGTCACAGATTACGTCGCACAGAGTGGACGGCAAAGATTATTAACAGATAAACAGATGTGCCACAATATAATTATGTCAAGATACACAATTTAAACCAATTAGTGAAGCTACCACAACTAAGACGTTCGTTTTAGTTGACTCGTTCTTATTTCCTAACACATTCAACTCCCACTCAGAAAGTACAAAAAAAAAATCCGCAAAAACGAAGAACTAGAGGGGAAAAATATTATTCTCTTAAACAAATACCCAAAGTATTCAAGAATATTTCGTCTCACATATACATATATCATTAACAAATTTGACAATAAAAACAATTAATCGGTCAACAATTGGCAGAAAAATCCGTTAACATAAATAAAAACCATACATATTTGTCAAATATAGAACCGCTTCCTTTTTGATTTTGGAGTCGGTTAAAAAGATGGTTCGTGTAATCAAATAAATATATAAAGTTTAAACAAACAAACATAAAATATTCCTACCACGAGAGAAATTGGTGGTGATTTTAATAATCGTCTCGAATTAGCAATACAAAAACTTGACGGTTCAAAGCCACAACTGCATATAACAGAGTTCTTGGTGATATTCTGTTTGACTTGTATTTTACTGAGACATTTCTGTTGCATGTCTTCATTTTTCGAAAGACTGAATAACAATACTTTGCTTTGATCACACATTTAATACACATCATCCATACTTTTCATGATTTCGTGGTAAACATAGTAGTAGTTTTACAATTTTGCTATTTTTATCTCAGGTGTGAAAAGATATATTGCAACCGCCATAAGATTCGCTTGGGCAAACATAAACGCAACACTTTTTTAACATTTTTAATATCTATGAAGCTACTGCATTAAAAAGACGAATATTGCAAATCAGTATTAGTAGCAATAATATTGCAAATTAATAATAGTATGTACGTAAAAATATTTTTTTTTCCCGCCATGACACTTCCATAAAAATAAGTCAACAAATAGACTTGATAAAAATAATGAGGAAGTATTTTAAGAAAAAAAAGAAAGCACTAAAAAGCGCCTCACTAGATGGTGACTCTACCAAAAGTTGATTTTTCAGGAAACGAATGGACCTTTTATTTATCTAACATATTGAAAAACTAAAAGAACAATGGCCATCTGCCTAACATGCTTGGACTAGTAAAATCGAATAAAACGTAACTTGACGAAACATATGTTATTTAGTTTGCCTATGCAACTAGAACAAAGAAAGACATTAAATATATTTTTAAAAGCTGGGAGTATCAAGTAATTGTGTAATATGTTTTTGAGGTTATGTCGTATTATTTAAACTGTATCATTTTGAGTTAGAGGTATTACAGTTGAAATATGTAAAGCACACGTCAAATAATGCCTAATCTTAGTCCTAGAAGGGCATACTTTCACTTAATACTTCAAATGTGCTCTATATCTGATATATTGTTTTTATTGACTGTAAGAAATAAAATCATTTTTTGTGAACCAATGAACAATCAAAAAAATTAATAGAATTTTAAGATTGCTTTCAATAAATCTACTTTTCTATCTTACACTATAACTTATATAAAGTAGTAGTGAAAATACTAATTTCAAAAGGATATAGCAAAACAACATGTTGATTTTTCTTTTCTTTATTACAAATCTAATGAACACCTCATCACAGAATGCTGCAGGAGCAGCTACATTCTGTTCGTGTCTGGCCCATCCAAGATACCAAACTATGGTCATTATATGAGCACAGCATCCCAGTGTACATCGACCAATAAGACAATTACATCAGTGTTCTCTTATGCCATCTAATCCGGATGTGTCATTATTTTTTAAATGTACACATAATATTGTTTCCTCCCAATGTCTCGACTTAATTCTACCCCTTATAATTAGGACTTTATTTATATTTAAGTCTAATTCTAATAAATCCAGAGAATCCGCTATTTCTCTCCAGACCCTATACTGCCCATGGAACCTAGTATGCTCCCCATAATACAGAAGATAATACAAAATCACCGCCAAAGTTACAAAACGGTCTGCGTAGAAAGACATCTACACATACTTGTCTAAAAAAGGAAGGTCGCAATCGATTGAATACTGTAATATCGATTCTTTTGAATAATGATTTGTTTTTAATTTCATTATAAATAAACTATTTTCCTCTAAGTAACATCGTCTCGCGAGACCCAAAATTCTTCAATTGCCTAATTTATCCAATGACACCAATTCTAAATCCATGAACTATAGGGATCACACGGGTAACCAGCCCCAAACAAGCACCCAATCCTTAATAATTATATTAGTAATCTAATCTAAGTTCTATAATTTTCACGGATTTATATGGTTAGTAAATAATATAAGATTTGTATCAAATGAAATCGATCTTGTTCTTTGAAAAGAGAGGGACTTCTCTAGGAATGACATTATTAATAAGATGCGTTCAAAAATAACATAATTAAAACTGCGTTTTAAATTTTAGAGAGGATTATCTTTCTTTTCCCAGCTTTTAAATATAAATTGTTGGTATATAATAATTACATTCAACTTATACTATTTTTGGTGATAGTTCCATCTTGGTACAAGAACTTTTTTTTTCATAGTCCATTTTGACCATTGTTCTTTGCAAAGTCCGAAACTTAGATATCAATACAAATACGAAAAAGTACAAATAGAATATAAGTTGCTTATTGAGTTTTGAAAATTAATTTACTTTTATATAGGTATAAAAGAAAACCGGAAGTGTTCAGTCAACAAAGTACCTTAGCGACATCTAGTTTGGTTTGAGGAACTAATGTTTTTTTAAATACTTCCTCCTTACTTATTATCTTTTTTTTTAATGATTATTGTGTAAAGAAATTAATGTGATTATATAATAACTTACATTTTAAAAATAATAATCATTAAAATCCAAATGTTTGTACTAAGGTTTTCAAGTTAAAAACGACAATATTTTTTATCATGACAAGATTAAAGAACACGGCCTCCGTTGTGACTGTCTTTCTCGGCTCGAATTAGATTCGGTACAAAGAGCAATCAAAAGTATAAATCATGAAGCTATTCTTTTACTTATCTTCATGGTATAGATTAACTTTTCATGTCTGTGGTGTGGTTTATAATTTTCAGCTGAAGGCCGTGATGTCAAGACCGGTAAAACCTTTGAAAAAAAAAATTATTTTCGTTTCGTTTGTTCCGTGTTTGTAAGTTTACAAAATTATGAATAAAAATTGACAAATCGACATTCAGACTACACTTTATATTAGAAAGCGTTGAAAAATATAACTAGGTACACCACATCAGGTTGGTAACGTTAAGATCATATTTATTTAGTACCTATTCTTAAATATTGACCACTTTAATTAATTTTTTTAGGTTTATTTCGGAAAAGCTTTGATTTGTTATTTAAAAAATCTCTGAAATGAAGTGATGCAGGCACTCATTTCATCAGATTTAGGGTAACCGTATTATTTTCGTTTTTCAGAAATGACACATGTATTAAATATTAGAGATATTTCTGAAATGAATAAAGATAATATTCATATTAGAGATGACAAGGATCTGCTGATAAAAATCAATAAGATTATCCAAGGCGGTCACAGCAAATTGCAAATAGTTACTGACTTTGATCATACATTAACAAGGCATAGGATGGAAAATGGGAAAATAGTATTGACAAGTTTTGGTAAGCGCAATAAAACAAAAAAGTTATTAATTACCTATAAAAATAATTCGATAATTTTTATGTTTTTGTGTGTAGGTATGTTTCGTGAGTGCCCTTCTATTCCTCAGTATTATAAAGATGAAGATAACAGGCTCTCTGATATTTACAAACCTATTGAAAGTGACCCGCATATGAGTTTGGAAGAGAAAACTAAACATATGGTGGATTGGTATAAAGCTGCTCATGTACAACTTAAGTATGTGTTATATTTAAATTTAAAGAAAAGTGTTATTATAGCATGTTTATTCATGTTTCTGTTTCAACTTCAATATTCATTCAAGTCTTCCTTAACCAGTTTAGTGAAGGCCTCCTTAAATTTATTTAATTTGACAATGGCGGAGCATACCATAACATAATAATGCTTAACAATAATGTTATAGGTATATTAATATACCATGATGAATAAAAATTCGCTAAATTAATAATAATCCTATAAAACCTTAAATCTAATTAAAATTGCACAAATGACCTCACTGTGTCTACCTTTAAATTAACTGTTTCTTATTGTTATAGAGGTGTTATATTTCCAAGGCAAGAACTCATGGATATTGGACATAGTATGATTGATTGCTTCAGGTAAAGTTTTTATAATTTTTAGAATTAAATTGTATCAAAGTAACATTGGGGAAGCGACATCGCCTATATTAATTAGGTAGCAATTCTACTGCAAGAGACTTTTTAATGTAACATATTTATATTAATATTATATATGGAAATCTATATCATAATAAGTGTATTGAATTAAAAATACAAGTGACATTACAAAAATTACTATCTTTAATCTAATAATTAAGAGGTAATGTCACTTCATCAGCTAAGGTTTTCAAACTTATTGTCCTTAGTTTTATAAATTAATAGTAATATTAGACTGTCTGTAATAGGAAAGGTGTCGCAGACTTTATCAGCTGGAGTGAAAAGCAACGTGTACCTGTACTGGTGTTTTCTGCTGGTTTGGGAGATAGTGTGGTGGCAGCATTGAAAGCTGCTAATTTATTACTTCCACATGTTAAGGTGAAAAACATATTTTAATATATTCTCACATTTTATTAAAGTTTTTGAATTTAATTTTGCTTAAAAAATATCTGTTTTTAAGGTTATTTCAAACTTTTTGGCTATGGGAGATGACGATAAAATAATTGGGATAAAGGGTGAAGTGATTCACACTCTCAATAAAAATGAGACTGCAATTAAAAATACAGAATATTATGAAATGGTGAAAGAACGAACCAATGTGATACTAATGGGTGATAATATTGGAGATGCAAGCATGGCGGAGGGCATGGAACACTGCGACGTAGTCATTAAAATAGGTTTCCTCAGCAATAATGTGGAGGCCAATCTCCCTAATTATCTCAACAAATTTGATATAGTTTTGACCAACGAACACACAATGGATGTAGTCAATGCCATATTGAAATTAATGCTGTGATTTTTGTGACAGTTTCTTAGTTAATTCTTATTTCTAACTCTGACAAATATAACAATGATATAGTGAATTCTCCTCCTATTAGTACTATGAAATCATTAAGAATATGTGTGCAGAACATTGGTAGGATCTTACACAGTTAAGTGGAATGTCATAAGTCTACCTTTTGTTTACATATTTAATTTGTTTCACTTTTATGAAAATTTGCCAAACCAGTGGTTCTTAGCCTTTCAGTCTCTAGTGACCATTTGTCAAATTTTTGTTTAATATGCTGTACCTAAATTTAGAATTGTAGATCAATTAAGTATCATGTATCTATAAATAAATACCACTTGGGATGCTTCCGGGACTATTGGTTAAAAACCACTAGTCAAAACTCTTAAGTAGTTTACTAGCTGGCTAGTCTTACTTAACATTGTTTTTGTGGATTTATTATGAGTTGTTAACAAATATGTAAGTTAGTTCAGCAGGGCGTTTATATATTTGTTGAAAATGTGGCTAATTTTATAGTTGTTTTTATCTTTGTTATTGCCTCCTGCAAAAACTACAGTTTAGGTTGTACATTTTGCTGAGTTTTTAATATTATGGTTTTCTTTTTGTAATAATACCTTTTGTAAAATATGAGTTCATATGGACATGATTAGTAGACTGTTCTGTTATTGTTATAAATAAACTCTTAATTATTCTTATGGATACTCTATGTACCATAGATTATATAGTTCCTAAAATTTGTTGCCCACAGCCACGTGACATTAAAGACAATGTTCTAGTATCGTTAGATTTAATCAACGCCTATAGTTGAATTTTTAATCAGACAAAATATCAATTGAATCATTTCAGTTCATTCACATTTGTGTTTTCAAAGTGTCCCTAAAATCCAAGTTATTTATTAAATTATCTTATTAACTTTACACAAAACTCGATAAAGATAACTACAACAATAAATATATACAAGAAACTCGGTATCCTCGGAAGAATCGTCGTCGGTAATATTTATTAAAAATCTATCTGTAGATAACTGCAGTGACATAAATTTTATTATTTGACGCGACAATAGCATTTTACTTAGCCCCAAATGAAATATAAAAAATAATTTTAATTGAATTCTGTTCATCTTTAAGGCAAAAAACTCCGTGTCTGTACTGGCGTTTCCGATGTTTCCAATTAACTATTTCATAATAGATTAATTTATTAAAATTGTCTTGTTGAAAATTAAATTTTAAGATGAGAACGAAAAGATACAACACCATCGAATCTTACACTGGACACTGAATATTTATATAATGCGTTTTGTTTCGTACATTTCAAATGTTAAAGAAAAATAAAGAAGTGCTGTCGGGCAGAATTTCTCCAATCTATTTTAAGCCGTATTCTATTAAAAGTTAAGTTGAATATTGGTTGCAAAAAATTTACTTTCTTAAGTAACCTGATTTGCTCTGACTGTGAGGTGTCCAAAAATAATATATACTTGTATGCTACAAACGAGAGAAGTGACTATCATTTGTTTTACTACTCTCGCAGCGAAACTGAATCTTTTGGTGTTCGTAATTTATTCATGAACGTATTTGCTTTAAATTTGGTTACATAAAAAAAGAGATAAAAATCTATAGCGATCACACTTACTTAAGTGTCTCCAGCATGCAAAAACTATGTTTACAAAACATTAATATAACTCATAATCGAAAAATACTCCTGTATACTGTAATACAATAAGTTTACTTCTGTTATCTTAGTTTATTGTACAAAAATACAGTATGTATTATTTCTCCTTTTAAAACTACCCCACTGATATTGAATCTCATCGTTACCCCTCAGACAGTCGTAATTTGATTGTGCCAGCGATTTTAATCATCAATAAATGAAAAAATTATATACATATCTAAGCAATTGTTAAATTTTGTTTGTTATTCGCAAGGCAATGTGTTTTTCATGATATTATTTTATGTTATATGCATAATTAGTATTGATAAATACTGTGCTATAATAAGTCGGTATTTATAACTTATATTGAATAATTACATAAAAATTACATAATAATGAGTAGTAACATTTACGAATTTGAATTATTTACCCATCCTATAACAGATACTCCAATAGGTCTCTAGGATAGTGGTTCACAAAGTTGACTAAGTTTGGGACCATCTAACAAAAAAATCCAAAATTGAGATTAACCTCTACCTGTTAAGCTGCTTTAAAGGGGCATAACATTAATGAAAGCCCAAATTTATTGAAGTGGAGATCTATTGGAGTCGTGGATCTCCTTAATATGTTAAAAAAAAATCTAATTATTTTTTTCTTGATATACCCCAAAACCATAACTTATACATGTCTATATATAAGGTATAGGTGATTCATACTGCTCTAGAATTTTCATACCCGGCTCACTTACCCACCTGACTTTACCAAATTCAAAGTAAATTTCGTTTTTGATTTCACACCTGTTAAATGACTCGTAATATCGGGTATAGTTCTTTTTAATTATTGATGTTGCCGATCAGTATCGATATTGTATTTTTCGCATGTATCCCAATGCGCGCGCTAAAAGTATTATCTTGACTGATGGACAGTGGTACGATTACCAGTCTGATAAGGATATACGAAACTAGTTTTTTTTTTGCAAACTTTGCCCACTTAAATTAGTTATAGCCACTGTCATCTACGTATGATGTAGCTTACCGTAGGTGAACGAATTTTTAAAACAGGTCCAGTAGTTACTGAGCCTATTCGAGGCAGTCACAATCAAAGCTTTCCTATTTAAAATAAAAAGTCACTAGGATGAAGCTCAAGATAATAAAACAAAAATTATAATGAAATTAAATATTTATTATTATTATAAAACAACACAATCATGTATAAATGTATTTTCAAGTCATTACTTTGATATCTTTGTTATTTACAAGTCGGAAACGAGTTTTATCACAAACTTAAATGCATTATTATAAGAATAATATAAAGACAACGTTGGAAGCAATAAATAGTGAAAGGCTACAACACGAGTGTAGATAATGTAACAAACATAACAATAACGTATACACGGAAGATCGCTGATGACTAAAAAGATAATTTACATTTCCCTTATTTGCGAATATTCGTTGATAAGACTAGTGGTGTGTACAGTATTGACACTTGCTATTATCTTACATCTTTATTTGATCAAATGCAATCTTCATTTAAATGAACTCAATACAAAGATGCCAGACTATAAATACAATGCGACAGTCAATTCACCCTAAATGTATAGGCAAATAATGGGCACGAAATGTCAAACTATTCGTCTTGCTGGCCGCGAAGGTAGACATATAAACATAAGTCGAAATAATTGTTTTATTCAAGATTAATTGAAACTTGTACTAAATTTTATTATTTACTAAAACGTCCCATTTAGACCATGGCAAGAAAGTCATTCTATTCAGGTAAGTTTTAACTATAAAATGACTGGAAAATACATGTTGTAACACAATAACCTAGTAGTTTTAAGTTAACTAAACAATTAAAAGCTCTAAATGAACAACAGTCTTAGAACATACATGTTATTTACACAAAGATTTTTTTTTATAAAAAATAACCTACTGTACATGTAACAAACCTCATTCGTATAGAAATATATATATTTGTCTGTATACAACGGCTACAAATATAATAAAATATCTTATAGGAATCGTAGTCAAGGAAAAGTCGGTCACCGCAAGGCCGGCTCGCCGTTTCGTGGACAAGGCATTCGCTTTATAAATTCACTCATTTAGTATTATATGGTGTTCTCAGAAACTGAAATACCTATGTAGTGGACCATTATCGTTTTTGAGAAACAGTCCAGAACAACATAATAATCATATTTATAAAGAAAAACATCGTGGTTGTTAACATGTAACTGGAATGTATTGAGTAATGAACGTGAAATGAAAAGGTGATTGTGCTGAGAAGATAATTTCGACAAGTTTATGATATTGATTACAATTTACATCACATTTACTCGGAGATATTGTAATGAATATTAATTTATCATCAAAATTTGTTATATTTTTTATTATAAGCGACAAACGGCAAGTTGACCCCGCGCGACATCTGAGAGACCTACATCTAGTGCAATCTCGGGCAAGGCAGCGACATCGCTATGAGATACTACGTCATATAATCACATTTATAACACGTCCGCGTCTCGCAAACTTCTACAAAAATACACCATTCATGGTCACATCGTTATCCAGAAATATATTCTATTTAAAAATATTCAATCAATAATTCGTAAGTGAAACTGCCTGTTGGCATCTTTCGCTTTCTCTACGCGAGAAGGATATCTAAGATTGAAGTTCTTCATAATTGAGATAATTTCGTCCAATTTGACGAATGTTATACGATAAATGAATGATTACATGGAAGTAATATAAATCCATAATGTAACTATAAAAACACAAGTCACACATTTACTATGATATGACACTATACTTAGCCAATCAACATTAAGTATATTTTTCTTCCTTAAAATGGCGTATGATTTCAATACGGATGTAGGTATATTTGGCAAACTTGCTTTAACTTAGCAAATATAACATCAAATTACTCAGTTACCATAACAAGTGAATCGTATCCGAGTGTTCGTATACAAGATCTTATTTAGATTCGAGTAAATACTGGTGTGAGATTGATTCTTCATTGAAGCAGAATGGAACAGTTTCAAACTTATAACAAGCAGCTCCAAAAGTTCCAAAAAGTCACAAGCACTTCTGTGCTTGTGACTTTTTGGTAACAACGCTTGATGTGCGGCTTTGGACCGCTCGCTCTCAGATATATTGGCCACCATTTTGATGTATACATATGGCTGCACGTCAGGTTACTAATATTTCAAATGTCAAAGAAATGGATTTTGACCTGTTCCCTCATTATATTAAGGTTTAAAATAGAGTGGGGAAGTTTAAGTTTTGTATAGTCTGATGTGCTGTTGACTATGCGATCAAATGCATGCACACTTTCGTGTAGATTTGACACAAGTTAACAAAAAATAGGGATTGAGTATTTGGTACAGTTTTGTACATCAACTGTTTGCGATATGTAAAAGTCCTGATTATGGAAATAAGTTGTAAAAAACCTTTTAACTCCGATTCACGTTGTCTTACCGATGGATGCGAAGCGTATCGCTCAATGCCTACTAGCTGGAAAACGCCAATCCGTTTTACTTCAATGAAGTATCGCTAAGAGGCAGTTATGTGATTCAAAGTATAACTAATTTATACTTATTCTTTGTCTTTATGTAAAAACATTTATCTAACGACACAAGAAAATAAGACTGAAAGCTTCTTTGAAGCTCGTGCCGACCGTTTGTCTTAATAAAATATTATGATTTCTATATGAGATTTAGAATAATATAAATATCTAGTAATCTATGAACAATACTGTTTAAAAAAATAACACGTTCACGTAAACGATATCGACAAATCTATTAGAACTTTCAATTCTAACTAATGCCGCTGATATTTATGAAAGAAAGACTAGAATCTAATTATTCAAGAATATGTTAAAAAATAAAAGTTTATCGCGGGCGCGGCGACATCCAACAGTGAACTGTCAGTATAAGTACGATAGCTTCAAAATTATTTACAGTTTTTCAAGTATAATATCTTACTAAGAGGAAGATCTTGTTAGAAGGTAAAGCACTGTCGGTGTATTGTGGCGACCGCGATTCATCTCAGCTGACGCGTTGGTCCCGCACAGTCGTATAAAAGCACAATATAATAAATCTATAATACAATAGTTCTAAAGACAGATCACAGCCTAAATTCAACATTGGGTCTAGGTAATCCACTCAATTGGGCGATGAGCGGCGGTCACGTGATGGCCGCTACCTCCGTAGTAGTCTTCTGCAGACCGTCTTCGTCTGTTGACCTGTAGACACGATATCACAATATAATTTAAATTATTTTAAAGGCTACTTGACAGTTGTAATAATAAATTATTTATATTAAATTTGAACATTGACTCATTATATATTAGTTTTGCCATAACACAACATTTTGAAGACCTACATGGTAAAGTAAGATATTCACTTATGCGTTAGTTAGAATTAGGGTTCGCTGACAAATATATATTAACGGATATGTATCATATAATATATCGATTGATATATACCAATTGATATTTATAATATTTATTGTAAGTTTGAGTATTGAGTCTCAACTAGATTTAACCAATTAACCAACCCAATGTGACGCTATCAACATTGACCCGAGGTAGTAATTTAACTTACTAGTAATTTCGGATTTTCCCCTATATGTTACTGGGAATCCTTGTAAGCATACTACTTTATAATTCTTTTATAACAGATAAAAATTAATTAAATAAATAAAAACACTTTTGATTTTAAATATTAAAGAACGCCACTAGCAGCTTAATAAAATCGTAGCTTTTCAAAGAAATATCAGATATTTTAAAAAGTTAAAAAAAAAAACGTTTTAAATTTCCAAATGGCCAAAAAGGGTGAAGTGGCCAAAATTTTCTGTAACTATATGTTTTAAAAAATGAAATTCGATTGAACAGCACACGTTTATTGTTTGTACCTGTACACGTGGGCAGCGGCGTTGGCACAGCGGTAATGCGCGGCGTAAGGCAGCCGCGAGCGGCGGCGGCGTGCCAGTACCGCGCGGCCGAGTGTGCCCGGCCTTACAGAGTTGCGTACTGCGCGCCACGCTAGTCTGTGACACATGCACTCATTACTTTGAATGATCAAGAAGCTAATAGTAAACTAACGGTCAATTGCACAACATCCATTAAGGTTTAAGGACGCTTTTAGGCTCAAATGAATGTCGAATTAGTATGGGTAATGCTTTAAACTAATGACAATTTTAAGGGACGTTTGTGCAACTGGCTGTAAGAATTGCAGATAGCATTCTTTCTCATATCATATTTAATATCTCACGCTTGACTTAGGCAATCCCAATATCGTTCATTCAATATCTTTCAAAAGAAAGTCGTGAGCGCAATCGCTATCACTTTTCAAATAGTGTTCGAGGTTCGTGAATATTTTTCAAATGTCAAATTAAAAGTGATTGCAATAGATTTTAAAATAAGACAATTATTATTTTATTTGCACCAAGTTGCACAAATTCAAGCTTTTAAAAATAACAATGTTAATAATTACGAAATAAATTGATAAATATTATAATACATATCATTTAAATTCATATATATTTAGATAATTTTTACAGATTTAAAATATTAACCGCAAAGATTGTCAACAATTGAATAAAAACCTCCCATTAAGCAACTGGCTAATCTTCTATCGCAACTAGTTACTGTGAAACAGTTGCCAAGTGGCCGAAACGCTTGAAATTATCTTGTGTCATAAACTAGTACACACACATATTTGTTGCGTACATACCTGGGCATAAGCGCCGCCACTGTGGTGAGTATGACGACTAGCCAGTAAGTCGGATCGGAAATTGCGTGATGCATCACGTGGTACGTCGACGGTAGGTTGAAGCAAGATACACACACCGACTCGTAGATCAGGGTCAATATGAAGAATGAAAGAAGTGAACCAGTCAAGGCGAGGAGGTGGATCACCGTCTGTAATCATGTTTGTAAGAGTTTTTCCAAATCAAAAAGTATTCAGGAAGTAAAATAGATAAGACAACATCACACAACTCTGAACACTTAAGACATGAACAACGTAGAACGGAACTACAATAGAGACTTTTGTAAACTAAACGACACATATATGTATTCCGCTCTCATATACATATCTGCTAATAGAAAAAAAGTTTCCTGGGATTTGTCCAGCCTTCCAAGCATATCTATAGGGTATACCTATGTATGGCAGATGTTGACGTTAAGGCGAAGATACATAGCAATTGACTTTATCACGATTTTGTACCGTAGTAAAAAAATTACGTATTTGAAAATTCGGCAATGACCGCATTATATCTAGAGACGGGTGATCAACACGTACGTAAGTGCAACTACGTCCACTCCAAAAATGTGATAAGTGTTTGTTATACATTATCGTTGTCTAATTAAAATACGATTGAGGAACTTAGATCCTTTATTTAGACAATAATCGCTTGAGAATTTGCGTTGTAGTCCCACAATTCATTAGAACTATAGAAAGGATTTTGCTAACTTAAGAAGATTTAAGTTCTTCAACTGTAGTAACTATGCTCACTTAACCTTTCATTCATCCGTGACTGTGTACATGAGTATGCAATGAAGTGACAGACTTAACATTATTTTCGTCTTAACATTAGACTTATTAATAAAACATATTCTTAGACTAATCCAAAGTTACACTTGGAATAGTTGATTACAAAGTAACAGAGTATTAACTTCGTTTTAGCAATGTCATTAATAAACATGAATATCCTCGGTTTAACAATACCTTCCTTAAGCCTGATTTAACGTGTGAGGTATGACATATGAATTTAAAATTAATAAGAATGAGTTGGTGAATGAAATAGAGCACTTTAACGGCGTTTGTCTATATTCGCTAACAAACTTGGACAGACGCCAAAGAGTAAAGTATATTATACTCACTCTTTAATTCTTAAGTTTGGCAGTGAAGTTCAACCATAGAGATTTTTTTAAAGGTTCGACAAAGATGATTAGTTTCAAAAGTGATTGTTTAGTTAGCCAGATTCATTACAAATAAAACATACATAGGTATATTATACAAACAAACTTATAATATAGGTTATCCTTTATTATAGAAATTAACTAACAGAAACGCAGTTTAACTTCTTTTGAAGTAGACGAAACGAGTTTAATATAGTTATAGGAACATCGTTTAGCAGGATTGAAATATTATTAATTTCCTTTAAATCATCTATTTCTTCTAAAACATTAATAAAATAATCTCTTTCCATACTTATTTTATACAAAAAATAAATACAAATAAAAAACCCTGCGCATCTGAAATAACGACAAATATCAAAATAAGTTACGATATAATACTCGTACCAATGAGTTTCTATACTCTATGTACACTATGCCCTGCCTAATCGCTGGCTAACCTAGCCGTGCTGGCTATAATGGAGTAACTTTTCTTGCGAGATTTAAGTTAGATTAGTTTATTCATTCCTTACTCTTAGTTTATTAACATAAAAATTGGTTACTACCGATACACTTGGGGTAAAGTTAATCTAGCTTTAGTTCATGTTTATTAATAAGAGTATAGAGGTTTTAAGTATTTAATGAACAGATTGAGACATTAAAAAAATTGTGTAGGAACCTACTGCTCCAGTTTGTTTTAAAATTTTATTATGTGATATCTTGAAAATTCACATAACACTCTGGTTTTTATTAACTTCATCGTTTTATTAATCTGAAACACTACAAATTATGTTCTAGTATCTTGTAGAGTGCATCACGTTAGTTCACACCAAATGCACCAGTTTGCTTTTGCGCAAATCGTATTCACTGGCCGAACCATAACGACGGACAACTAATAAAAGTATTATGTGGTCATTTGTTAATGAAGAAATAAAAAGATAATTTCTGATGAGTAATTATATCATATCATTAATATACATATATCATTAGTCGGCCGATCATTATATTTAGGCACAGTGGTGTTAACTAAAGCTTTGAAAAACACACTGGACTCCTAAAAATCCATGATCACTTACAAGTGTCTTAAAGAATAGCTGCAAGTAAAAACCCATAAATAAATACACAATCAATGTTCCAAAAACCAAAAGACATATCATGGTAAATCAGAAATAAAAACAAAACTAGAGGATTATTTATCACATTCGAAATTGATTATGTTCCATCCAACTTTCCAGGAACACTAATCTTAACCACCCTAAAATCACCATCTTATTTAAAAACTAATTCGATATACATGCTTAACACACCTTATACATGATATTTTTAACTGGTCGATAAAAAAATCTTGGAGCTGCATTTTTACGCAATTTCTTAATGGTATGTAAAATTATTTCACTTGCTACACACTACTAAATCGTAATGGAGTGGTTAACGAGCCGTCATTTAATAAGTTAAGATGCATTTAACTGATGACTTTTGTGTGTAAAATAGAACCGATTTAAGAAATCTTTAGATACCTAATAATTTGAAATTAAGTAATTTAATGTCGTGTCAATAAATAAATATTAGATACCGTCACATGTATTGCTCGGATCCCGAATTAAATAGCTAAAACTTTTATTATGGAAATCTGATACAACAAAGACAACACAACAACCAGACCAGAGACAACATTGAAAAGTTAATGGTTCGTGTCAATAAGAATCGATGTAGATGTATCACTTAGTATTCTTGGACAGGTTACATTTTTATTTGTGTATTTTCTATCGAAAACATATTAAGCTAAATATCTAACGGTGAATTGCGATGTTCGAGTATGTCAACTCACCCAGCTCCTAGTCTCGATGGCGACGTACACGAGCATAATGACGAGACAGCATGTCATACAGCATGTGCCGAACGTCCATATGCCGATATCGGTGTCCCAGTACGCGCTGGCCGCGGTGAAGAATATCACGAGACTGATGTAGATACTCTCGGCGAGTACCAGCCAGTACGAGTGCGTGCGGTAAGCGAGGCCGCGCCGTGACGCACCGTATAGACCCGGCCGTTCAGTCAGTAACGTCGCTGGCGCCACGCGGTCGTACGCGCCTACGTGCAAAGATGTATGGTAACGTCAGACTCGTTATTTATATTGTCAAGAGATGGCGCTAGTATTGTTTTTTTTTATCTAATTAATCAAATGTAAATCTTAAGGGATGGAAATGAGGAACAAGATCATAAATATTGCTCAGATATCCAACAATCTGAGACAAACAGGTATATTAACACGAGACAACATAGAAAAGTTAATTATCTATATTGATCCGTCCGGGCATAGGGACCTCAGAGATGCCGACACCTTAAAACCGACATACAATCCACTCGGTTAAGAAAGCCACATATTAATAATAACGTGACAGATTCGTTGCTTTAATTGTTAAGAGGTGGCGTTAACGTTGATTTCAGTTTTTTTTATGAAATGGGAATCTATCCAATATTTGATATAAGGAACGTAAATAAAATGGTATTGAAAAAAACATATTTATAATGAATATTATGTTTTATGCGATAAATTACCTACACAATAAATAATTAGAGTGTCATTAAAATAATATGTAACTCTTGGTTACCACTGACAGGCCTCCAAAAAACAATTTTGCGAGTCGTGAAGCAACGAGTATAGTCGATTAATTAATCGACTAATCGACTATACGTAAATAGATAGTTTTCAATTTATTAAATAAAAGCTTTCCGCCAGCGGCTTCGCTCGCGTCCCCAGGGAACTATTTAATGTAATAAAAAGTAGCCCATATGTTAATCTAAGCTAAGAATTTAATTTAATAATTCATTTGGATTATGTTTCATATCATGACACGGATATTATTATAATGACAAATAGAATAAATAGTAAACAATGGTATCCTATGTCCACCGCATACTATGTAGCTCCTGTACGTGAAAGAATTTTTAAAATCGGTCCAGTTGTTTTGGAGCCTATTCAATACAAACAAACAAACAAACAAACCTTTCCAAAAAACAAAGTATAGAAGTATAGACTAGGTAATTATCTTACCTATAACAATTGGTGGGATAGCGGTGAATATAAGATTATAGCACATGAGATGCGTTTGGTCGATCATGACCATTGCTGAAAATCCATTGTACAGCTGATACCAAAACACCAGGAACACAAATGTCTGTCGAATAAAATGAAGAGAAAAGAATTAAATAAAACGCTTATTTATATGAATATAAAATAAACTATATGTATCCTTATACAAGGACTAAAAATCCTGTATAATTTTTGCAGAGTACTCTCTTTGTTGTACAAAGTGGGGTCAGCGACCTATAGCATGTCGTACATCAAATTGCGATACTTCGCGGAAAAGATGCAGAATTCTCTGGATAGCGATACGTATCGCTTACTTTCAATACGCACATAATACCATTCAATTTTCTACGTCGGTTAGGACTATTATAAAAAAAAACTTGAAAAACATTCTAGTATAAATTTCTTTAAATACGGGTGTAGACACTAAACGAAAATAAATACATTTTTATGCTTATTATATTTTATAATATTGATTAAATGAATTACGAAATAACAAATATTTCATACTCGTTGTCCTGTGACCGCAATCAGCGCGTGACGTCACGCCTATCTTACTAATATCATAATTAGGAGAATTAAACCTTATGCATACATAAAACCATTAGTTTTAGAGTAGTGATAGCGACGCCATGACAGAAGCTGGCGTTTCAGCGGATAATTTTGAAAAATAAATTTATGTTTAGATTTTAATCCATTATATGAATGATACTTTTTTAGTTATATTTCATGTATATCTATAAAAAAGAAATAAAAAAATCGCCTACACCCCTATTGATTTTTAAGTATGTAATTACTTTCTTTTCAAACAAAAAAATATACGTACAGCATTCTTGAGGAAAAAATACAGTATCATTCTAGCGAGGCGGTCGTAACACCAGTGGCCGTGTACTAGAAGCAACCGCTCAAGAAACTTGAACCGCGACAACGCGAAATCTGACGCCATTACTGCTTGTCGCCCCTCTTGGCCCGACAGTCCTGTTTTTAATTTATAATAGTTTAATTATATTTGTTAATTTTCTATGCGTAACTATTTGCAACTTATGGTACACACAGCAGCACGACAGATTACATTATCTTAAATTATCGCAATTGATTGTTGTTGGCTGTACTAAAATCTTTATAAGTAGTATCAGCATAATTCGTCGGCGAGTGCAGAGAAGAGCAAACTAAAGCCGACGGAAAGCAATATAGACTTTAATCCATTACGTTAAGGTTTTTTACTCAAAACTCCTCCGAATATTCTCCGCGAATACGTCGGTGTGACTATAAATATTTTTCAACTGTACTGCTGTTATGTTCACAAAAGCACAAAATGGATACAAAAATTTACGATTTCTTCAATAATTTCTAGTTTATATTAATATAATTATAAACTAGAAATTCTTCTTAATTAGAAATTCTATCTTGTTGATAGAATTCAAAATCAAAATTGTGTAAAATAATATTTTATGATTCCGTCTGCTATTAGTATCAGTCGAAGCACACTTCAAGCATTAAACTTGCGTGTAGGTCTTGGAATTTAAATTTATAATATTAAGAACCGAACGAAATTCTTTCATTCAAATAAGAAGTTTTTGTTATATTGGGAGAGAAGTGGGGCTTTTCTGACCTTGTCGCTACTGTGTAGTGTAACGTTAAAGAATGATTTTTTTTTTATAAATAATATTTTATAATGAAATCCAAGGTATTTAAAATGACTTACCAATTCCCACGTCAGCCGTTTGTATCATAGACACATCGTTAGCGCCATCTCCAATCGCGAGTGTAGTGACGCCCAATTCTTCTTTTACAGCCTTTAATTAAATATAAATTTATTGATTACTATCTGCGAATGGAGTTATACTCGAATCATTCTTATAGGCTACGGTTTCAAAATTATTCTTCTTCGTAGATACATCGGTTAGACAATTAATTTGTATCTTACTGTGGCACGTTACGAAACAGCTGTGAGGCGTCAGGGAGAATAGTGCCACCAACTGCAAATGTCCGCTCAAATTACAAGGTTATAAACAACCTAGCAGTAGCTCGGTGGCGTAGTGTATAAGCGCCGCGGCCCGCGATCGTTGTCGTTAAGCAACGTTCACAAGGGTCGGGCACGGGATGATTGACCAAAAAATTATTATCTCGAGCTACTCCGTGCTTCGGAAGGCACGTTAACGTTATTATTTGCAGTCGTTATTACCCTCCAATCCGCATTGGGCCAGCGTGGAGGGTCATGGCCCATCCTCCTTAACCATCTATAAGTAAGGCCTGAGCCCCTGCAGTGGGGACTTTAAAGGGCTGATGATGAAACAACCTAGCAGATTTAGATAGCCCAGATCATAAACGTTCAATCTATTAGTTTGACTATAACTCAATACTTTAGACAAAAATAAATATTTATTATACTGTCGTGACATTTATATCTCTTTTATTCATATACAAAACACAACCATTTAAGAGTCTACAATGGTAGACGATCCGCGTCTGCGACTGTGTATCATGAGACACGCTCCGTTATTTAGGATCTATGGCGCGATAACGTTCAATTTTTTTATGCCAATGACGGAATGACTAAGCTCCTTTGTCAAATAAAAATCACAAACATATTTTATAAAATTTTGGTTTTATGTCGTTCAGTGTGAGGTTAGAAAGAAAGAAAATAATGTTTGCCAAGTGTTTGAGCAATATTGTGAATTTCAGTGTTTATTTCAGAGTTTGATGAACACTTTCGTGTTTTTTGTAGGTATTGCGATAATATAATAATAAAAGAATTTTACATACAGTCCTAAATTATGTTCTTTTTTCATTAATAAAAACATCGACAGATTTTATCGATATTGTTCATACTATTTTGCTTTCGTAAGCAAGGTTACTTATCTGAGAACATAACACAAAAAACCGAAAGCTTGGCGTGATAAAAGGAGAACTTTTATCTTGAAGATGTATGCCTTCTGCAGCGGTATGGCGCGACATCATAGTACGCATAGTACGGCGGAACAGTGTCGCGCTAGTGACAGGAAGGGCGCCACTAGTCCCGATTGTCGGTCCAGTATATACGTATACGTCATGCATTCAGTACGTGCCCCCCTATTTACCTTAACGATGTATGCCTTCTGCAGCGGTGTGACCCGACAGCACAGTTCGTCGCGCCAGTGACAGGAAGGGCGCCACTAGTCCCGAGTGTCGGTCCAGTATATACGTATACGTGATGTGATCAGTATGTGCCCCCCTCATTACCTTGACGATGTACGCCCTCTGCAGCGGTGTGGCCCGACAGCACAGTACGGCGGAGCAGCGTCGCGCCAGTGACAAGAAGGGCGCCACTAGTCCCGAGCGTCGGTCTAGTATAAACGTTTACGTGATGCATTCAGTACGTGCCCCCTCGTTACCTTAACGATGTATGCCTTCTGCAGCGGTGTGGCCCGACAGCACAGTACGGCGGAGCAGCGTCGCGCCAGTGACAGGAAGGGCGCCACTAGTCCCGAGCGTCGGTCCAGTATGTAAGTGAGCGTTCGACCGTCCACTACGAGTGCGCGTCCGCCTGCCGTTTCACCCGCGCCACCCTCCAGGTAGCTTTTGATCGTTGATTCCGCATGTTCCTAACGTACACAAATATCGAAAACCACATTATGTGAATGCAACAATAATAATTATAACCTAGTGACTTTATTATGGTTCTCAGCCAGTGGTCGGAAAAAGCCACAATATAGATATATTGATCGTTATGCAATAAGAAGAGGGCGGGGTTTACGATCACATCAATATTATGGTTTCCTTTTATGTCAGACTATTGAGTTTTAGATTAATTTTTTTTTTCATTATACATTATGAAAATAAATTAATCTAAACTCAATAGTCTTACATCATAATTTCTTCTAATAAATTTTATATGATGAGTCAAGAAAAGGTTAGAAATCCCTGTTTTAACGATTGCAGTGATTGGCAACCTTATGAAACGGAAGAGCCAACAGTTGCAATTTACAAACAAAAATACTTTAAAAAATAATATTTGTTCATCACTTTTTACATTAAAATGTTTTAGCATAAAACATATACGATACAGATTAATAAAATAATTTGCTGAATAATATTACTACAGTTATGGCCAAATAGATGGTTCATTATGTAGATTGATGAACTGCTTTGTACGGTTTTTGACATGGTATTAAATCATGGAACGATTGTACGATATTAAAAAGTTTAGATTGTTAAATAAATTAGAGCCAAAGAAGTTAGAGTCGCAAATTTAAGGCTAAATAGCCACATGCGACTCGGCAATTATAATAAAACTGGAGTCGTACCTTTATCTAAAACCTAATTACAGTCTCTGGAACTATCCAAGGTAGGTGCCAATTAAAGTTATAATGCAAATTGAAAACCAGCATTTGATTTACATTGAATTAGTAAAATTTTGGCGCATCGATGAGATACAATGTTATGTTTTTATGTGAAAAATATAAATAAATAAATATAAGACAACATTACATACATTGCTCAGATTCCAGGACAAGTAGCTAAAACCCCGGCATTATGGAGTATCTGAATTAACGATGGTACCACAACACCCAGCCATGAGACTACATAGATATATCTCATATAACTGATATTGATTGTCCTATATTGAATGCTTTAATTTTTTGTACATACTTTGTCTCGCGACATGAGATGTAACAGCCGGTCGCTCTGGGAGAATAGGGCAGCAGAATAAGCTATGTTGATGGCAGTCTCCGGCTTATCTCCGGTGAGTACCCACACTATGATACCGGCGTCTAGCAACGCGCGCACAGTACGAGGTACAGCCTCTTGCAACCGATCCTCTACACCGGTCGCGCCGACTAACGTTAGGGCACTCTCTAATCGCGCGAGTGAGTCACGAATGCGCTTGTCACGTCCTATAAGGAACGATTACATTTATAGTGAATAATAGTACATGTTTAATGCAACAAAAATAATAATATAAACAAAAAAGTTCTGAGTATGTAGGGAGAAAGTCAAATAAAAGATGAAATTAGGAAAGATTGTACAAAGGCAAAGCTAAAATAAGTATTTTCAAATAATTTTATTTTAAGTACATTTGGAACGTCCAATATTTCTTTTCCTAACACTCATTCAGGACGTCTTTTTGATGATAATAAGGACAAGTAAGAAACTCAACAGCTCTAATGGATGTAACGACATAAAAAAACATGTCATTATCAGATCAATACATTATAAAGTTATAAAATCACTGTACATTATAATATTAACATAATAGAAAAAACAACATAATAGCTCAGTGGCGTAGTGAACCACAGCCTGCGATCGCTGTTGTTAAGCAAATTTTGCAACGGTCAGTCACGGGATGGGTGACCAAAAATGTTGAGCTATTCCATGCTTTGGAAGGCACGTTAAGTCATTAGTCCCGACTGCATTTGTATTCGTTAATACCCTCCAATTTGCAGGGCCAGCGGGGAGGGTTAATCATTAGGGAAGGTCTAAGGCCCTGCAGTGGGGACATAAAAGGGCTGATGATGATGAGAAAAAAAAACTGTGATCTTACAATAAACTGACATTGAGTGTGGATTATAACACCTGATCAAGAAATATAGAACATCCGTTGAACTAATTTTTAATGAAATTAGGACATGGACATACTAATTAACGTAACAGAATATAACCACGTACTCGTCTGCGTCAAAATTAATGTTCTATAGCAGCATGACTTAATGGGCATAAATAAACGTATAAGTGGCAATTGACTAGCTATCAAGCATGTCAATCATATACTTTAAAGTGGGTCCCAAAGGGTCTTAGTAAACAACTTACTCATTGAGTTCGAAAATAATATTTCTTTTCTATTAATTTGTAGCAGACTCTTGAATTCTCGATGTTTTAAAAACAATTGTTTCTACAATAATTTTAGTGTGATTGAAAAATTGAACCAAAGTAATTAATTGCTAGGCAAAGAATAAGCAAAGCGCCAAATGAAAAGAGAATATCAGTAATTAAAATCGAAAATAATAAATAGTAAGTGTTCAGAAAGAATAAATATTAACTTAGCATCACAGACTGATGGAAAAAAAACAACCGATACGATTTATTTGAATAAATGATAACATCTAAAATAAGACGCCTTCAATAAACATTTCATGTAATAATAGGAGAGGTCGACATGACAACTTATATGAATGAAAACGTGAGAAAGTATATTATACACCATTACAGTTTTCAAGGTGCAATGTCATACAGTGATGTTATCTATTTATGATAATTATTTTAACAACACTTCAAAATTTTAATAAGACAAATAACCATACTGTTAGGAGCATTTTCTTTTCTTGTAAGTATCAAAAACCTATATTTATTTTATTTATAACATTTGAAAATATTAGTATATTTCATCAACTTTTCACATTCACATTCACAATGCTATACTGGAAAATATATAGTTAAAATTTAAAATAATTCCTAACCTTCTCCTATTTCGCTGGCTCGCACATGTCCCGCCAGCCATTCTTCCCACAACGCTGGCTGCATCGTGCGTTTAGCCATGACCAGTGTACGCAGACCCGCGCGGGAATACTCCGACAACAGTGAGCGAGTTCTCTCGTAAGCGGACGCCTCTGGTGATCCTGAACGCATTGGAGCCAATGCACCCAGTACTGTACTGTCGGCACCTTTTACGTACAAGACGACCTGAAGAGTAAATTATTATTATTATACTAATGGCTAGTAAAAAGGCTGTAACTATAACTAATAAACTATTTAATAATGGAGATACATATATACATCTACATATTTAAATTGACCGAATTATTTATTCGCCGAAGTTATGGGGAGTCCAATTTTGAAATTAATCTTGAGTTTTTTTGTCGGCAGATTGCTTGTACTTATCAATACCCACCCACAGCTGGTAGTGCTGGTACCTAGTTATGTCATCAGAAACGTTTTTTTTTTGTTATTACGTCAACATACTAAATAGTGACATTAAAGTCTTTAGAGGTATTTGGCGCCGTATTTTATTTCTGCGTGTGAGACAATTTGAGATACAGAAGTAAACACAGGACACTGAACGGTCAACGTTGATTTATTACGCTTGTAATAGGACGTTTTGTACTCCAAGACATAGGTTAGGCTTTTCGTAAACTAAAAGTTGAGTTTAACGAGGAATATTTGTGTCCAAATAGGTTTAATACAGATAAATAAACGTCGTATCATTCTTTGTATTGGTTGTTAATAACAACTGACGCATCGCAAAGTCGAATGACGCAATTTGATTGCTTTAAGTCGCCCTTCGTAAGACGCAAGACAGTACCTGTGTGTCCATTAGGCAATATAGTTAGAGTATTGAATGTTATCATAATCTGTGTTCATATGTTGTTATGACCACTTTTGTAAGTTAGTTAATGTAATAATAGTTCACCACGCAATTACATAAAATGGTATGACATAATGTAAGTTGTATAGTACGCCGAACATTATTTAGGCATAGTAGTTTACGCATATTTTTATAACAATAATTCCTGTAAGCTAAATATTCAGCATATGTAGCTTACAGATATTATTGCATAACTTTATTAAGTTGTATATGGCGCTTGCCGACCACAGGCGTAGAACGCTCGCTTCACTCGCTCAGGGGCTCTATTTTTGAATCATTCGTCTCGCGTCGAGCGCTCGTTTTCTACTGATTTTCGTTCGACTTAACAAATTCGCTATTTCTAAATCGCTCGACTGCAACGAGCGGTATGAACCACTCGTCGATTAGTGAACACTGTATACGAGTGATAGTAGAAAACGAGCGCTCGACGCGAGACGAATGATTCAAAAATAGAGCCCCAGTTCTCTTTTTTTTTGTTCACAGTTCTAACCTAACCCATTGATCGGTTCTTTTCTGTTAAGTAACATTATACGAATTAAAATTATGCTTTTAAAATAGCCTAAGAGATAATTTTGCTAAAAATACAATATGCCAAAAACCATTATATCTATATATGGTTATGCTAAAACATATTAGGAACGAGAACATTATGCAAAAATAAATGATCCCTGTTATAATATTACCTGTCCGTTAGGGGTTCGCAGCGCGATGGACATACATTTTCTGTTGGAATCGAACTGTTGTACTCGCAGCACTTTCAACCGGGAGACCTCGCCCCTAATACCGATCTCAACTTCGTCGGGTGAGCGCCCGCGTAATTCATATCCGTACGCTAAAGCAGCTTCTGCTAGAGCCAGCTCGTCTGGACTCTCCGCTTCAAATCTCGCGAACTAGAAAATCAAAACGGAAATAATCATAAATACAATGACGTTTTAAATAATTAGTTTAAATAACTAGTTTTCTAAAATAGGCAAAAACCTACCGCGTTAACTAACTTGCTGGAAATAAATTTAACAAGTTTAGTTTCGGATTACACAGTAGCAGTAACATTTAACTGTCCGTTTCACCGACAATTTTTGTGACAGTTTCTTCGTGTCAATGACACTTTACTATAAGATACTGCTTAAATTGGATTATTATCCTTCAGTAAATTTGTATTCGAAATAATTGAAATATTATTCTTTTCTACATATTAATCTACTGTATTGCTTTATGGAAGAATATACTTTTTCCTGTGAATAATTTGCAAATATAAGAAGTCTTTTGATGTCCGAATGAAATAGCATTGATAGAATACCAGATGTTACTGCTCTATCCAAAAATCCATAATTATAAGTCAATGTGTAGCTACTATTCAGTTAAAACCGTTAATAAAACTGTTTGATTTAATTTATAGACTTGCTTTATATATATCAAGAATCTCGGTTAATTCAGTCGGTTAATTCAGTCTTCCTTTGTAAGTTTTGTCGAAAATCTAAAAAAAAATGTATATTATATTAGTCTCTATTGGCAACCCTAAATCAAATTATCAAATACCAAAACCTTTAAACAGATTTTTATGTTCTCTGTTGAAACTTTGAAGCAATAGATGATGTAACGAGACTCATTAATTGATCACACACAGATGACATACACTAAGAGACATGTAAATTAAAGGCGTCATTATCACCTTCATTTATGGTTTTTAATCGTACTTTTTTGCGAAATGATAGTTATGCCAAATCCGGAAAGTTTCAAAAATTCCATGATATTTTTTGTTTATTAGAACAAATAATATATAATGTTTTTTAATAAAGTAAATAGATGAATTTACAAAGTTTCTTATGCTGATAATCACCAGATAACTCATAAAATACAGGCATTAATAGGTGGTTAATATTACCGTATTTTCAGCAGAAGTGCTCGGCTCGCTGCTGGTTTCCTCCCGACTTCCGAAGGGCAGTTTGGGTAGTCGTATTCGTAGAGGTGATGTGGTCGACGGTGGAGGCGAAGGTGTCGTGGAACGGGATTCGGTAAGTCGGGCGTATCTGTGTCGTATCAATTTATTTGTAACATATGTCTCATTAAAGGACAATAATTTACAAGGTTTATAAAATATTTTTTAATTTATGACTCAGATTTAGAATTCTTTTTTAGTTACTACTTAAACGATTTTTAACAGCTAATAAATTTAACAGATATATTTTTAGATTCGTTGTCACGAATATTTAATTTTGTTGAATTTTATCATCATCATCACCAATTATGATTTTAAAATCCGTCGAATAGATTCGGAGCCTATATTCAATGCAAAAAAAAAAACAATTAAATCTTTCCTGTTTACAATATTAGTATGATTATTGGATTTACTTACTTATCGTTAGATCGCAAAGTGCCGTTGGCGCGCATTGGTTTTTGTATCTGTTCAGAGTTAGAGCCGCTTAGCTGCATGTTGTCCACGTGGGGTTGACTCACCACCACCGTGTTGCATAACGCCAACATCAACAGAAACTCGCGAACCTGTTACGAAAGAAAAAAACGTGATGAGGAAAATATTCCTATTTCTTAAGAAGGTAAGTCGTTTGTGTTTTAATTACCTACGTGCGCCCCTTTTAATAAATATGAAAAGAAGTTACTGTAAAAAACAATTTGTAATAATGTCAAATAAGTTATGCAACAGCATAGTGTACCTACCTAGACGTATTGCAAAACAGATAATATAGCAAAATATCATGGGATAATGATGCAGTAAAAATAAAACTTTACTTTCTCAAGAAACAATATAAAACTTATCCAGTAATCCTTTGATATTCTCTGATTGTATTGTTCCTAAATTACAAGAGAACAGTGAATATCATAGTTACTTACTTTTTGAGTATGCTGTGCGTCGTTATTGTCGAGTAAATGCTGCAACATTCTTCTGTTTGGTGAAACGTTGGTTACAGGTGTAACGATGGGCGGAAGTTCGGGTGAGGGCTCGGCGGGCGGACCAGGCGGATGGTCATAGTCCATTCCGTTCACTGTACATCTCCTGAACACCATTTTATTTTCAGTCAACGTACCCGTCTTATCACTAAACAAATAGTTGATCTGCCCTAATTCCTCTGTTATATTCAATGCTCGACACTCCACTCGTGTATTTGTCTGAGGATCGAACATTTCTACATCTTGATGTACATGGTACACTTGTAATAGTTTTGTCATCTCAATCGTCACGTACAGAGATACTGGGATCATTACTTGTAGCACTATTATGTACGTCCAGAATATGAGTAGCCCTTCGTAAGCCGGTTTCCCCGAGTTCGGAATAAATGGTGTAAATTTAACTATGTGAGGACTGTATTGGTCTAACCACACTTTGCAACCGACCGCGCCAGCGCAGCAGAGAAAAAGCAGCACTAAAACACACCATATTACGTCTGTGTTCATCTTTCTTTCCAAACCGGAACATTTATATCTTGGTCCACCGTTATTGAGCATAGCTTTCGTTTCATGGCCAGCGTAGACGACTATTCCCTCCACAAAGTCAGTGTTTTTGATCGTGCAGTCTCTTAACAGTAGATTTTCGGAATTAAGCGGGACACGAGATCCGTTGGGATGTGATATGGTGCCAGTAAATCGATATATTTTAGTGGACGGCCGTTCTACTTCAACGGAACTTCTAAATTTTAGCGGATTGAACTCTGTTTGCTGAAATTCAAAAAATATGTTACGGTTTTAGATGTTATCGACATATTGCAGTTCTACTTTACTGAATTACCTACTTGCCATTGTATCAGAATTGAATTATCAGAGAAAGTCGTTCCCACGCTCCGTTTCTTTTAGGTAGCTAACCATTCATGAGAAACAACATAAAAGATTTGTTATTTGACCATACAAAAATATAAGTGCCATTAAATATCTTAACATTTTCGCCACTAAAATATAGTATTGCTTTAAAATATTTTTATTATTAAATTAATGAAAATGTCTTTAGAAAAGTGAAAAGTCAACAATTAACAATAAAAGCTGTATTTACGTAATAATCATGTTTCTAATAATTAACAAATAGGCTCTGTATACACATAATGCAATAAACCGCACTAATATTTTATTCATCAGTTCTACTGCCTCTATATCACTATAATAAGGAAATTGACAATTCTGTTTCGCCTATGCAAGCATTATTATCTAATAGGAACAATAGGCCTTCCAATAACTAACTATACAGTAGTTTGTTATAATTTGAAATATAAATAGACTTCAATACAAAATAATTTATTTCTAAAACGATAGATAATGGGATTCTAAGATTAATTAAATGTATACAACATTACCATAAACTTCCTACAAAACACAGTAGACATTTTTCTAAAACTTAAAACCGCTGTATGTGTTGTTAAATAATTACGTTAAGCGCTAATTTAACCACCCCTAGGACTGATTGTTCAAAATTATCAATCAGGGTTTTATACGTTTGAAAGTAGCAATGCCTTCAGCCATCTGACCACAAAGGATTTTTTCTTGAATATGGTAACCTCCTTTTTGGGATTTATATTAACACAACTAAGTTGCTTTAATAACATACACGTACCTTATCCCTGAACCCAGTGACGACGATTCTCTGCTTTAAATTAGTCTCTCCGTCCAGATTACATGTGTCAAGGTAGCAGATGCCGAGTGGATTGGAAGAGTGCAATAGGACCATGTCTGCTGGTACAGCCTCGTTGTTCGACAGATGAACTAGGTCTCCTACTCTGACGTCTCGCCATTTGACCCTCACGTACCGCTCTACGGATCTGTTGAAGAAGTGTAGTAGTTGAATAGTATATACATATTATTTTATCAAGTGAATATTGTGTTGATGTCATAAGATGTATTTAAATTACTTTAACATTTATGATCTTATCTACCTTTCTTCCTAATTAATCTTTTATGGGCAATAATACTATTTAATCTTTTCAAACAATTTCTTTATCGTGTCTTGTGATTATGATATCTTTTCAATTTAACACCTGTTCAGGTTCTGAGATAATTAATGGCATTCCAATTAATTGCATTTTGTTAATATTTGAGTTCGTACACAAAGGGTAAAACGGAAACACTATTACTAAAACTTCGCTGTCTGTCTGTCACCAAACTGTATCTCGTGAACCGTGAAAGTTCAAAATTAGCATCAGAGACTCAATATTAGCAAAATAGAAAGAGAAAACTATGTCATTGAAATGTCTTATTTAAGAAAATCTTAGCAGAACTGCAGAACGATTCCGCAAAAATCCGAACCCGAATTCGAATTCACTTCGAAAACACATCCGCTTAACCATGAATTGGTATTAACGTTTCGTGGCATAAGTAAGTTTCCATATGACATAGGATAGAATATATGAGACACGCATGAATCAATCAATCTTGTTTTGTATTTTTATACAAAACACATAATCAATAGGATTTATACACTAATAAACGTTAAGCTGATTTCCTTTGGAACTGAATTCGGACACCGGTTTCGAGACTTCCAAAAAGCTTCTCTGTGAATATCAAAGTATAATAAAATAATATAATGCTCATTTTTGTTATATACAGAATGGTATTGCTCGGTATTTTGTCAATTAATGTAATTGTTTCTTTACAATAACGGTAATTGGCAGTGCGATGTTATCAAGACGGGCACGAGTTGGCTCGTTTGATAACATAGCCGAGTTAGACGCAAACGCAGTCATGAAGCATGATTTGTTGAACGCTAGCTTAAAATCATATCAATAATTCATTTTAGATGATTTTATTATTAGCGAATTTCGATACCACAGTGCTATCTTTATATAAATAATCTATATGAAATATTTATGGGGCGGTATAGGTTGTTTTCTTTCAAATATGTTTGTATGACATTGTATTAAACAAACCGAAAGTTCAATCAGTGTTTAAACAAAGATATACCCGATTCGATTAATTATAAGTATTTAAAATATACAACTATGTTATCTATGTATCTGTCACTCTATTAATATGATTTTGAAACCAATAAAGCTTGTATTTTAAAACAGACTATGGAAAAGAAAAAGAAATTAATAATATTAATGTAACTAAGAAAATTAATAGAGTTGAACATAAAGAGAAGAAGGATGAAGAGTAAAGCCCCATAAAAGATAGATGAGGAATAAAAGAAATGCAGGAATAAAACGATGGCTGACAGAAAAGAATAGAAGAGAACATAATACATCGACCACAAATAAATTGGGTGGGCAGGAAGTACATTATATTACACTTTGAATAATATAATCAAGAGAGAAATGATTAGTTTTATAATTTTAAATGTTTTTATTTGATGAATTCTGTTGATACATTATTATGGGCACACAAAACAATATATTTCTATAGGAACTACACTTTATACTTGCCATATAAGATAATTAAAAATCAGTTAAATGTGTAATATGATATTAGAAAGCGTGTCCGAATCCGATGTCATAACCATCGTGACGTCGCATGGTCGTTGGTCAAAACAAAAGACTAGTGAGAAATAAGACAAGGAACGCCATTTTAAGGTAAGCCCGGCTTGATACCGAATGACAACGATGATGAAATGAAATACTATCGTAACCGATATCCGTGAAATCTTAGCGTTTTTATTGCAAATAATGCCGGAGATAATATGACCAATTCCGGTACAACAGGGACCAACTTAGTACATATCACAAAACATGACAGAGTTCATTGATTTTTTCTATGAAATTGCAGTCGTTAGTCATCATACTTCAAATATTTAATTTGCTTTCAATATGTAAACTGCACTAATGTTGTTGTCACGCACTAACAATCGATTTTTAATGCCAATTCATATCATTCTAAAATGCTACCTACTCCAAATGTTTGCTACGAAAACTAAACTAATATTTAATGGTGTGTATAGCCTTTGAGCACTTAATGTAGTCAATCTGGCGACAAAGTAATCATTAAAATGAGTTTTAAAATTACGTGGCTCAAAAACAATGTAATGCTACCAAGAATTTTAAATATTGCTACCAACTTGCTACTAACGAATAGTATACATATATAAAATGATAGTAGGCTTTTATACTTATAAAAGTTAGCCGTAAGAAAAGCGTCTGACATCATAATTAGATTTTTTGATTGAATTTTATTCTATGCGGAAACTTAATGACTGAATTAGACAGAAATATTATCTAGCATGATTAACTAATAACATAAAAACAATATTTTTAGTATTGTTATTTCTGTTCACTAGTTTAATGTAAAATAAAAAATTTGCCTATTTCCTTCCTACGATATTTCCTGTCAATATTATAAATAATCTAATAATTCTATGCTCCTACTTGAATAATTTTACAAAACGAGATTACAATAGAACACAGACATATAATAAACAAATTGAATAAATGTAAGACAATGTTCTAACATCTAAACCTATTTACAGTTCCTGTTTCTATGCGCAGACACAGATAAAATAAAACCGTACGCATAGATAACTGATAGCTTTAAATTAAAATATAAACGTCCTCGACAATATTTTTTTAACAGCGGATGTAAGCTTTAAATAGACATTCGATATTGTGAGCTGTTTCCACGTAGTTTCGTTGTCTATACTACCTAGACATAAAGAAAGACTTTTCGTTTTTAAGAGTTCGCCTCTGATTCCGTAAAATTATATATTAAAGTTATTCCGTAAAAGACGGAATCCAGATGTATTGATCTCGGCCAACATTACCGAAGTAGTGAAAAACTCGTAATAGCAATAATTTTTAATAATGGTGAAAGAATTTTTCAAATCGGTCCAGTAGTTTTTGGGTCTATTCATTACAAACAAACAAAGTTTTCCGCTTTATAATATTAGTGTAGATAAGATATAATGCGTGAAGAAAAAAAAAGCAAAAGCTAGGACTCTTTACGAAAATTGCGCGGACTAGGGAGTATGAAATTAAGCTCAACTGAAGTAGATATGAAAAATAAATGCATGTTAACATTAGAACAATCACCCGGATTGCGAAAAGTTGTTAGTTCGTGTTCCAAGTCGGAGGGTTGATGATTTTTTAATTTTTCATTAAAGATATGTATTGCTTAATCTTTAAGGTTGTACTTCGATCGAATAACATTATGTAATACAACAATACACTAAAATAAAAAGGTAAAATACAATACAATAACCAATACTGTTCTATATAAAATTGTGATTTCAATCATCACGTCAAAGGCAATGTTGTGACACACGTTGTTGTCTTTACGATCGATGATATAACTCTACTATCAACTAACGACTGCAGTAATTTTGTCAGGCCAGGTAAATAATATTTGAATCTGATGAATCATCCCGGATCGATATAATTTTATAGAACAGATTAAGTATAGAGTGGTTAAAAAGATCGCTGAGTGGGAGGTATGTTGGCGAAGGAAAATGGGGCAAACTAAATTTCCAATCAAGGAATAATTCAATGGTTCCATTTGAATTACGGAATATTCATAATTTCCGAGTTTCATTTCATTTCCAAACTAGATTTTCAAATTTCGTTTCTCTATCTGAATTATACGAAATTTGTTTCCGACCCATTTCCGATTTTTGTTTCAGCATTGAATTACAGAATTACATTTCAGTATATCGTTTCTAATAACTTTTTGTGTACTAATTGTGACATTGATTATATTATGGGTTCACCGGTCACCGAGATAGAGTTTGGCAAGCGAAACGTGACACCACCTATTTTTCCGTTTTCATATGGCAACAACATAGAACTGTCAGTTTGACACTACGTTAGACAATTCAAAAATATTGAATTTTGTTGTTTTTGCGAATTTGAACTTGTGTTTTTGGTTAAAAATTATGTCGAAGCCGATAAAAAGTTCATCGAGGAAACTTCTTTCCATCATGATTGACAAGTTTACTGAAGTGAAAACTGAATTAAATAAAAATTTCATGGAGAAATTACAACGATTAGATAAAGTTGTATCTTTTTTAGGTTAGTTTTGTATTATAATTTTGATACTTTCGTTTTAATTTTCTGTAATTAACTAAACAGATATTTTTTATAAAATATTGCTCTATTTCAGATAACTGTGATGGTGATATTCAACCAATAATGGAGGAGATAAATGCAATAAAAACTTTAGAAAAACAAGAAATGCTGAATTCGGAAACGCAGTACTTACAAAAAATTTCTTCAATGACAGGTCTCTTTTCTTGTTTTGATTTAAGATAGATTGATAGTATTCCTATAATATTTACATAGGTTTTTTATGATGTATTGGTTTTTATTGTTGACATCCAATGATGTCATAAGAATGTTTTGTTTAACAAGGAAATTCACAGAATTCATGAAACTAATCAAACCATGTAATTGTTATACATGCTAAATATGCACATAAACTTAACTAAATTAAACATAAATTGCATTCATAGTTGAATAGGTATTTAAATTATTTTGATGTATGTGTCTATCATTATTTGCTTTTAAATACATTTAACATATCTTTGTTTCAAAGTGTTTAATCTTTTATAGATGTAAGTATAAGGACACTAAGAAGGATAAAAAATGAAGCATTAATTAATAAAGGAAAATGGGACACTCCTGGGAAAAAACGACCTCATCAACCAACAGTGTCTGCTTTAGATAATTTTGATTTAAGTGCAATTCGGAATAAAGTAAATGAATTTTACTGTGTGAAAAAAATTGTTCCAACATTAAGAAGCCTTCACAATGAATTAAAAGATGCAATAGGATTCAGTGGTAGCCGTGAGACTTTACGAAAAATTATGCTTAAGAATGGATTTTCTTTTAAAAGCAATGAA